AATGCACAAAGTTGGTTCCACCAGGAGGGAAGTTTAGCCACCAGGAAATTCACAGAATCTAGTCTGGAGAGTAGAGCTGGCAAATCCATGCAAATCTGCAGAGTGGGATCCACAAGAAAAGGCAAAACTTATGAAGGCTCTTGAGCAATGAGAAAGAATTGCTCCGTGGTGTAGGGGAAGGACATTCTAAACACAAGGAGAGGCAGATATGAGCTTATGAACTCTTTTACGGGATTAAAATGAAGCAGACATTAATTATAATCTGCAACTCAAGACATCCTTTAATGAATGACCTGTGTTATGCAAAGGCCAAGCAAAGTTTGGAAGTATAATATTTTATTATTCTTTCAAAATTTCTTACGAGTCTCTACTTTATGCTGCATGTATTTACACCAGCGCCATTTCCCTCTCTCCCTTCCCCAACACTCCTCACTCCTACTGGTCCTCTTTGTTACCTATACAATATTGGATTTGCTTTCATTTAAAATACATATACATAATTTATGGAACTATATGAAATCCTAGAAACCACAGATGAGAGAAAAGACATATTTGTCTTTCTGAGACTGGCTTAATTCACTTCATAGGATGGTCTCCAGCTGTATTTATCTGTCTCCATTCTCCCACAAATGATATAATTGTGTTCTTCATATGGCTGAAAAATAATTCTATTGTATATGTAGAATATATCGTCCTTCTCCATTCCTCTGTGTGGGACACCCATTTTGGTTTCATAGCTTCACTATTGTGAATATTGCAGCAACATGGAGTCAAAGCCCTTTTTTGTTAGTTCTTTGAAATTTTCATATACTACGTTCTCATAGTATCTATCTGTGCTCACATTCACCCAACTCTGTATCCTCTCTTTTCTTTCACCCATAAAGTCCAATTTGTGCTGCTGATGTAGTCTTGGATGTGTGGTCTTCACCGGAACATCATCAGCTTACCAGGGACCACACTCTTAAAGAAAACGTCCTCTCCTGGTAGTTCTCAGTTCCCATCAGCTCCTTGCCTAGGAGTGGTCCCCTGTGTCCACCTCCCTCTCCGCGTTTGGACTTGGGACCGTTCGAGCATGCACGGATTTTGTGCAGGGTGTCACAACCACTGTGAATTTACACGTGCAGCTGCCCCGAGAAGCTTCTCTTATCAGTAGACGGTGGTTACCATAGAGACCCACAGCTGGTCTGTATGAGGAGGGTAAGTGATTGCAGAACGTTCGTCCCTAAATGGGACATCTGGATCATATCCCTTCCTCCAAAGGATCAGAGAGGACATAACAGCCCGAGAAACAGAGGCAGTGGAAATCTACAGGGAACGAATCTTCCAGACACAATAGTTCTTCTACCTCCTCCAACTTTCGCTGTAGAATACTCTTCTCTACTCTGTGTAAATATAGGTTGCTATGATTGGTTTAATAAATAAACAAGCTGACCGGTGGATAGCTGAACAGGATAGAGTCAGGCAGGAAAAATCAAACTGAGAACGATGGGATGAGGAAGGGCCGAATCGGAGGAGTCGCTAGCCAGATGGAGAGTGAGTTGGACACACAGAATGGGAAAGAGGTAAAAGCCACAAGCCTGGAGGGAGCACATAGATTAATACAAATACATTAAATTCTAAGAGCTAGTTAGTAATGTGCCTAATCTCTTAGCCAAGCATTTATAATTCATATTAAACCTCTGAGTGATTATTTGGGAGCAAGCAGACGGGATGGGAAAACTCCACCTATAGACTTCCTGTTCCTTGCCTACTTAGACTCATTCTTTATTTTGCAAACTATCATAGAGTATCCATCTGAAGTCGTGATTTAGACAAACACAAATATGACTGATGGACTAAGGATGTCAGCAAACTATGCCTGCTTAAAGTAAGATGTCATTCTTGGGATTTTTAAAATTTTTTTATTGATTTTATTGAGCTCTACATTTTTCTCTGCTCCCCTCCCTACCTCTCCCCTCCCCTTCAACCCTTCCTCATGGTTCCCATGCTCCCAATTTACTCAGGAGATCTTGTCTTTTTCTACTCCCCATGTAGATTAGATTCATGTATGCCTCTCTTAGGATCCTCATTGTTGTCTAGAAACTCATTGGTAGAAAGCTTGCCTAGAATGCATGAGGCCCTCAGCATAGCCAAAGGGGGGAAATCAACAAAGAGTAAGATAGTCCAAAATTGTTTAAACCGCTTTCTGTATACATACCTTGAGAGATTATTTGGAAGCAAAAATCAGGTTCCTTAATAAAAAAAAAAAAAAGGATTGGAGAGACATGGCTTGATAGCACTTACTGCTCTCACAGGTGGTCATGATTTATTCTCAGCGCCCACGTGGTGGCTCACAGCTGCCTGTGATTCCAGTTCCTCCAGTTCCAGAGATGCCCTCTTCTAGTGTCTATGAGCCTTGTGCACGCACACGGCGCACATACAAGCATAAAAGCAAACAAGGTAACTCATAGTCATAAAAGAAATAGATTATGAGAAAAGCAGCATCTAATGTATCTAATATAAAGTGTGCTGCTAAATATGATCTAGTTTAAGTTATGCTGTTAAATATTTCTATGTAGACATCAACTCTTAATTGTGGTAGATAGAACCGAATGACGCTGGATGGGTAGATCCGAGGGCAGGGTTAGGAAAGGGGGGGGGACACCTAGAGAAAGGGACATGCAGGAGGCTGTTCCATCTATTGCAGGAGAAGGCAATAGATGGGGAGCAAGATAAGAAAGGGGGCCAGGATTTATCCCTACTGCATGTACTGACTTTTGGGATCCTATTCTCTTTGGAGGGATACCTTGCTTGGCCTAGATATAATAGGGAGGGTCTTGAACCTTCCACAAGGCAATGTGCCTTACCCTCTTTGAGGATTAGAGGGGGTGGGGTAGGAGAGTGTGTGGAGGTAATGGGAGGAGGGGAAGGAGTGGGAACTTGGATTGGTATTTTTTTTAAACATCTAATAAATTAAAAAGAAAAAAAAGGAAAGGGGGTCCAGGAAGGTTGAGGAAAAGAGAGGGGTCTTAGGCTGTTACTTCCTTCCCCCTAAAAAAAAAATAGGGAAAATGGAAGCCCCAGAATGTGCTAAAATGGGAGTGAATGAAGAAGGGAGTCAAACCCTGAAAAACGGGCTGCAGGAAGGGAGAGGCAATCTGTTGCACTGGCTGTCCTGCTGTCCCACTGTCCCGCTATCCTGCTGTCCTGCTCCCCCTGACCAGTGCTCATGGTCCCTCTCTACCCTACAAAAGCACTGTAGTTGCTTTGTGTGCTCAGTTATGTGTGTGTTAGCACAGGTGATTCTCCCCAGGACTGTCTCTGGGAGCCGAGGAATTTCTCAGTGGCCACCAGAGGAAGCCAGGGCTCCAGGGACCACTGGGAAGCAGAGACAAGAGGAAGATTCCTAAGGAGACAGTAGCAACCTCTGACTACTGCCACTGTAGAGCATGCTCGCCCCATCTTCATTCTAGCAATTTCCTTATGATACCTAATGAACTAGCCCCCTGGAGAACCCCAGTTCATCATGGGATAATGAAGGAGGTACATGCAGGGAGGAGGCTCTTTATCCACCCACTGCCACCCTTCCAGGCAGATGAAATTCACCACTGTATACGAGTCTAGATAACACTGCATCTCCAGCATACATCAATCCACTGAAGGTCAGTGAGTGCTAATGTGACCTGCTTCCCCTCACCAGAGGACCAGACAAATGCTACTCTGTAACTTTCTTTTACAATCTCCTCACTGAATCCCTTCCCTTGTTTGTTTATTTCTGTTTTTGTTTTGAAACAGGCTGGCCTTAAATTCACCATGTGGATGAGGATTGTAGCATGGAGGGGCTGCTTGTTGGGGTTTCTGTCCTGCCCCATTCCCACAGCCAGTAAGCCCCAAAGAAATCACACAGAGGTCTCCATAAGTTATAAACTGATTGGCCCATTAGCTCAGGCTTTGTATTAGCTCTTATAACTTATGTTAGCCCATTATTCTTATCTATGTTAGCCACATAGCTCAGTACCTTTTTCAGCTGAACAGGTCACATCCTGCTTCTTTGGTGATCTGGGCAGGACTGGGGAAAGAGCTTCCTTCTTCCCAGAATTCTTCTGTTCTTATTGCCCCACCTCTACTTCCTGCCTGGTTTTCCTGCCTATACTTCCTGCCTGGCTTCTGATCAATCAGCGTTTATTTAAAACATAATTGACAGAATACAACTGTCCCGCACCAGAGGGTAGCCTTGAACTTGTGATCTTTCTGCCTACCTCCTTAGTGCTGGGATTACAGGACTCTTTTTGGTGTTGGGGATGGAACCCAGGGCTTTCTTTGGGCATGTGTGTGACATGTGTGTGACAGCCTTAACCCCCTGTCCTTCTTCCCTAAGAGAAACATTAACTTTCCCCCAACCTAAGCTTCAAGGGGATGTTGGAAAGAAATTTGGAGACAGTACCAAAAATAAGCTAGGATTAAATGGGACTGGTTGTTTGACTCTAATTTTTTTTTTCAGGACAGGGCTTTCAGGACAGGACTCTGTAGCTCTGGCTGTCCTGGAACTCACTCTGTAGACCAGGCTGGCCTTGAACTCACAGAGATCTGTCTGCCTCTGCCTTCTGAGTGCCAGGATTAAATTATGTGCCACAACTGCCTGACTTTCTTCTTTTTCTTTTCTTCCTTGCTTCCCTTCTTTTTTTTTAAACTCTGATTTTCTAAACCTACTCAAAAGATGTTTCTGACGTAGAAGTTTCCTTGGTGGTCCTTGAGCTGTTGCATGAGGTGGGTGTGTGCATGAACCCTCCTCTACTTTTTGCCTAGGGAGAAGCTCCAGTTTGGCGTTCTCTGGAGAGTTTGAACTAATAGTTCAATCCTGGGTGGGTGGTCTTTCTGTTTCCTTTAGGTAAAAACTGACTTGGTGATGCACTGTGGGTGTCAGAGGTGCTGCGAGTTTGCACACTTCCTGACTGACAGAACACCCCTGCCTATGCCTCAGGCCCAGGGTGGCAGGCAGTGTCAGTGGGAGGAGCAACCAAGTTTCACTTCCTTGCTAGTCAGAGCCTCAGCCACAGCAGGCTCCTGTCTCACTGAGGAGCAGTGTGTCCAGCCCTGGAGCCCATCTCTCTCTACAGCACCTGGCAGGGAAGCAACCATCAGAAGCAAAAGAACGAATGGGCAGAGCGGAACTTCTAGGAGGGAGCATGAGTACCCAGGATCCCTCAGAGCTGTGGGGTCGATCAGATGGAGGAACAGACCTGCTCCAAGACTTGGGGTAAGAGAGCTTTTTCAAGGAGTGTAGCTTGCCACTCCGTGTGAACGTTGCCTTCAATCAGTGAGTAGCTTCTGTACGTCTCTTCCCTCTGCCACCCCAATCTTCTACCTCGCCATTCTATTGATTTGTGGGAGCTTCCTGGCAGGGTGGGGGGAATGATTCATTGTAAGTGTAAGCTATTTTTGTTTTTTAAGTGAAAACAGTTAGATTGAGAGCATGAGGCAAAATCAACAGTTGGGTGTCCTGTAACAATTGGGGCAGAAGTGGGTTGTGTGAGTGGAAACTCCTGCTTTCTTTGATACTGTGCTGGTTTATCACTACCGTCAGGCTGAAGAGTGCTGAACGCTGCCTCTTGGCAGCGAAGTGGGTCACAGAAAGGCCACACTGTTGCGAGTAAAAGGTTGTTGGTTTTTTTTAATTATTATTATTCCTGAAGAAAAAGAACGAGGAAGTTTGTGCAGTAATCTGGTCTTTATGGTTCTGTCTTCTGACATGGCACTTGGGAGCTCTTTCGTAGACTATTTGCACAGTCTCTGAAAAGGCAACACACCCTCTTAGGCAGCCACAGTCCAAGAACTAGGTAGCGACAGCTCGGATTCAGAGAGGTCGAGAAGGTTAGGCTAGGTGGGACCATCAGAGCGCATCAGAAGGGAGCCTGACAGCACTGTGCATGGGGACTTTTAGCCAAGAAGAAAAGGCTACTCAGAGAGGAAAGGGGGCTTCCTTGGGGACCGAGCCTTGCACCCAAACACTGTGCTTCCCAAGAGAGGGGATGCTGAACTTGCTGTCCTTAAGTAGTTGGAATCCCTCATCGCCCGGTGACATAAGACCTACTGTCATCTTGCAAAGGATAAAAGTGAGCCCCAAAGGGTTAAACCCTGTCCTTATCAGAAGTCAGTGAAGTAAAGCTGACAGCACCTGCTAGAGGACCCCTCCTCCTCTGAAGATAGGTGGAAATCTCTGTTTACACTGAAGAGATTGTATCGTTTTGGGTTGTTCTACTGTAAAATTTCTCACGGTCCTCAGCTGGCTCAGCAGGTGAAGGTGCTTGTGGCTCAGCCTGACCCTCTGAGCTTTTCCCTGGAACCGTGGCTGTGGTGAAAGGAGAGAACTGACTCCACAGAGTGAGTGACGTGGCAGGCAGGTACCCACATATGCACACACACGCACGCACGCACACATGCACGCACGCACCTCGTACACCTCTAGTAATAATGAATTAATAAAAAATTCTAAAAGAAGCTCTTAATAATTCTTTAGATTTAAATCTAAGGTCTTGGCAAACCAGATTCGACAGACAGGATTTTCAATAAAGGAAACTCCTCAAGAGGCTATCAGAGTCGGAGTCTCTGTGACTCTTCGACTCTAAAAGAGAAGAGGTAAGAGCTCTTCTGAGAGTGTCCAAACCAGGGTTAGAGGCAAGCAGGGCAGCTGCCACCTTTCTGCCCAGCTCCGGAGGCTTTGTAGCTATGTTTTCGGGCCCCTTGGTCCACTGAAGTATGACACCCCAAAGGAGAAGTCAGCCCCAGAAGATATTCGACTCTGTCTCTTTAATTAAATCCTGAAAGCAGGATGTATGCTTCAGAGCGCTGAGCACAGAGGACACGAATGAACCTGTGTGTCTGCGCCCGCCCGATGCTGACGCAGATCCCGAGGCAGAATGAAGCCACTGCAGGTGACCCACAGGCTTCTCTCCCTAAAGAACAGACTCCTGACCCCAAGTTCTGAGGGCCTGAAATCAGGGTGCGTGTGTGTCCAGACTTCTCAGCATCAGAAGACCTGGATATTTTCTCGACTGTTTTTGGAGTTTGGCTCCCAAAACAGTGCAAACTCCGGCTGTAGAAACTGTTCTACCGCATGGGTCTCAACCTTCTCTGTGCACAAGACAGCCAAAAGGACGTTTTTATTTGGTTATTTTTTTTTTTCATTCTTTCCTTTATGACTGGCACGATTCAGGGTAACTGAGGACAACTTGAATTTCTTAATCTTCCTGACTCCGCCTTCCAAGGGCTGGGATCACAGGTGTACGGTGCCACGCCCCATTGTAATCAGGGCTTCCAGTATTTGAGGCAAGCACTCTACCAGCTGAATTACTTCTCAGCCACTGTTTTGTTTCCTTTCTTGATGCCCAGGCCATGCATGGCACACACACACACACACACACACACACACACACACACAAATCTGTCTAAAGCAGGACTGGAATTTAGAATCAAGGTATACAGAGTATTTTCTCTGAAGTATTAAGTACAGTTTTATCATTTATTTTAGTTCTGTTAGGTGTGTCCCTAAATTGCGAAATCGCTAGTAAGTTCTCGCATTCTGTTTGCGAGTTTGGGACCTTGTGGCTAATAACTTCACTGAAGTGCATGTTTCATGTAAATTCACCCATTTCAACTTTAAGGCTGCGGCTGTCACTACTAGCATCTTTTCACCTCCTTTGAAAAACAGTGAAGAACATGGTTCATTTAAACATAATCAATGGTCTACCTGTGTGGGGACCAAAAAATCCTTGATTTCTAGAATTCCTTTACTTCCAGACACTGGCCTGTTTGAGCTGTTTGCTCTACTAAGGAATAAGCAAATAAACAAGACTGATGGTGATTTAACCTCCATCCTGCAAAACTGAACATCTAAACACCAGCAGAAGCCATTCTTGCCCCTACCCCGTTCTGGCACCCCAGTGACAAGCTTTTTATAGGAGATAACTGGAGGAATCCTGGCAAGGGCCTGTTGCCTCTGGCTGGATTCTGAATAGAAATGAAACTCAGTCTTTGAAGTTTTAATCCACTTTGGTGATGTATGATCTGTACCAAGCCAGAATAATCCAGTTTTTTCAAAGCTCCATATTTTTTAAAAATGATTTTATTCTTGTCATGGATAGATAAAAGATGTCTAGATTTAATGACTTCAATTTTTAAATTATTTTAATGAGCTTCTTCAGTTATTAGATGTTTCTTTTTGTTGTTGTTTTGTTTTCTGCGGTGCCAGGGATGAAACCAGGGACCTTGTGTGTTTTATATAGAGATAAAGAGATAATTTAGTGGAGGCGTACACCCACAGAAAGACGCAAGGGACGAATCTTGGTTCTCTAGTTCCCATTTTTCTTCAGGCTGTTGAATATGTAATTACTGTGAACTAGACCCAGAACTGCAGCAAATCCATCCCTGGCCCTCCCAGAACACATAGGAACACTGGCTGTATAGTTTCTAAAGGAGACTTGGGCCCCATCAAACCACTCAGCTCCGTTAGAGTGCCGGTCCAAAAGCACTTATTTTCCTCTTCAGTCCATTAGTGAGCCCCAAAGGCGAGGAGAAACAAAGCCCTGTTTGTTCCAGAAGTGTAGGAACAGGGCAGGCCCAGGCAGGAAGGGAGGCAACGAAAGCTGGGCTCTGTGGGAACAGCTAGGTCCCTTCCTTGGTGGGGGTGGGTCAGGCACTAGGAGGCTCAGCACAGCCACAGCTCCCCACACTTAGCACACCAGCAAGGACCACAGGACTGTCAGAATCCCCAGGACAGGCGGTGGTGTTGGGTAGTCCTTGTGTCCAGTTTGTAAAATGTTATCTGAAAAGGGATTACAACCCAGCCACAGACACTCCTACCACTTCGGGTCTACCAGGACAGAGAGGTACGGGGGGGAGGGGGGGGGAGGTGATTGGTGGGGAGTCCTGTGGGTCTTTAAGGATTCAAAGACAGGTCCAAGGAAAAGCTCCAGACGAGTCTCGGAGGAGCTTTTAATAATAAGGCAGATCCGGCTATCAAGAGAAGGTGATGCAGGAAGGACAGCCGTTGGCATGGCAACTTCTGCCGACACAGATGAAAGGGTCTGCAGGAGTTAAGATGGATGTAGATTAAGCTTCGCTGTGAACCTTGCCTGGAAATTCAAAAATAGAACTGTCCTCCTCATTGATCCTACTGTTGTGTTCTTTCTAAGAGTCCCTGGAATTGGAGCTAACAGCTGCCAGGGATGCCCCATCCCCTCTCCTTACTGAGTTCATCGGCACTTCGCCCTACCTCAGGCTAATTACACAGGCGTTAAGACTGAGGCCCAAGAGTTGGCTGATTCCAGTCTGAAGCTGATGCAGCTGTCATTTCCAGAGAAATGTAAAGCAAAGATCTGACTCTTCAGAAAATAGCTGAGTTCGCCTCAAGGACTGACATTTTCATGAGTATGAATCTGTTCAGGAGACCTAAACAGTGCCAAGCTGAGATCATAGGTTATGATCTAACTTTTAGCTTCTGAAACTGGATGACTAGTGTACAGAGAAACACAGGGAGGGAGAATTCTTTTTTTTTTAAATGAGAGTTTACCTTAAAAATATTTGCGAAGTGGGGAGTGCACACAGGCACTCCCAGCAGTTGGGATGCTGAGGCAGGAGGACGACTGGTGAGTTTGAGGCCTGCCTGAGTTAGATGGTGAGGCCCTGTCTTTCAAAAAGGAAGGGAGAAAGGAAAACAGAACCTTTGTTTTTTCTCACATGTAAGAGAAAGCCAGAGGTTGTCAGAAAACAAAACAACAACAAAAGAAGTCAGCTTTTTAGCAAAGGTGCAAGTGACAAATGATTTTGGTTTCATGACTTCCCCACAGCTGCTCATACATGCTACTGTGATACTAGACACACATAAGAGAACACGCACACACGACGTAATAGTGCACACACAACCATGACACTAGACACACGTAAGAAGATACACACATAGCGTGATAGTGCACACGCTACTGTGACACTAGACAAACACAAGAGAACACGCACATATGGTGTGATAGTGCACATGCAACTTTGACACTAGTCAAACACAAGAAAACACGCACACACGGCGTGATAGGGCTCCAACCAAACACTAGCTATGGATAATGGCGTGTGGATTTTATATATTCTCCCTCTCCCTCTCCCTCTCCCTCTCCCTCCTTCCTTCCCTTCCTCCCTCTCTCTCTCTCTCTCTCTCTCTCTCACACACACACACACACACACACACATACTTTTCCCTAACCATTGCAA